CATCATCATCATCATCATCATCATCATCATCATCATCATGATAAAGGTTTTTTCTTCAGAAACAACAGATCAGTAACAAAACATTTCCCCCCATATAGAAAGTGAGCAAAACTGACCTGTGAACATAATTGTTTGTTTCCAGAGTGTTCAGAAACTACAATACAAAACTGAAACTGAAAAACTTAAACTAAAACATTGATATCGATCCTAATGAACAAATATCGATCGGTGTTAACCTGAAGTTATRCAATATTATCGATACTGTGGCCGATCCGCCCACCTCTGGGTAGGAGGAGGGACCAGCGGGGCACCGGAGCCAGAGTGGGCTGGTGTGTGCGCGCGCGTGCGTGTGTATTAGTGGGAGAGGGAGCTGCAGGAGCAGGACAGAGTTCAGTCGGKGGACTCTGAAAACTGGAGGATCTGCAGAATCCCAGAGGTGCACAGAGGAGTCAGCTCCGCGTAGCTGCTCGACTCTGATCCACTGTAGTTTCAGGAAAGTCTCTCTCTCTCTCACACACACACACGCGCACACACACGGACATCTGATTCCGATGCCAGCAGCAGCACAGATTAAAAACTCCACGGAGACATATCCCGGAAGAAGAACCAGCTGGGCAGGTTTTACGCACACAGGCTCCGCTGTTTTAAAGGGATCCAGCGAAGACCTGGTTCTGACCGTCCGAAAAATCCACCATTTTTCTGATGTTTACCAAGTAATGAAGTAGAAGAAGATGAAGGATCTGAAGAAGAAGCTGTACGTGGTGATGGACGTGCTGTGTGTTATAATTGGTGAGTTTTATTCACGGAAAGATCCAACAAAAAACAAAAAAAAGCAGATGTTTTAGCTCCTGTTGAAGGAACGCACTTCCGTTTCTTTCCTCTAATCCAACCTGTTGGTATTTTTTAACCCACTGAAATGATTTTAACCTTTTACAGAAACAGTATTTTTTTTATGCAAGATTTAAAAACCTTCAGTGAAGCTGAAACTGATGTCCTGATGTTGTCCTCTTCCTGCTCGGAACCTTTTAAAATCCGCCCTAAACGCTCCTGAAGACTGCAGAGCTTTTRGGAAGTCGAATTGTTTGTTTATGGAAATGTGTCATGCATGTGTGCAASTTGCATCGCCTGTTCCTCGTTTTCAGGAATATTTCTGTCTGCTGAGAACTATCTGAAGAATGCTGCTGCTTGCAGACACACAACATGTGCCTTAGACGATTTGTTGTATTGAAAACCAGCTCCAACCCTGTCAATGTGACAGTCAGATGTTGAGCTCAAATTCAGCAGGGCTAGCTGAGAATCCCTCCCAACACATACTCTTGAGTGCCACACAATTGTGTGACATTTTCACTGTTAGATTCAACACTGYGTCTGTTAGCAAAATAACTCATGACTGGATGGATTWWAAGGGGACATATCCTGCAAAAGACACTTTTTTTTAAAGCCATTTAACACATTTTGTTGAGTATTTTATCTTTATATCCTGTTTGGATCATCAAATCATTCAGGTTTCTCTATTTTCCATGATGTTTTCTGAACTAATACGTCACATTATTTGCAACAGAACGTAGAGTCTGGTCTTAACTACAGTTTGGTCTTCATCAGTGGTGGAGAAAGTACTCAAACACTGTGTAAAAGTACAGATAAACAGACAAGAATGTACTCTAGTAAAAGTAAAARTACCACATTAACATTTTACTTGAGTAAAAGTAAGTACTTGCTTATAAAAATACTTAAAGTATTAAAAGTAAAAGTACTTGCTTAATGTATTTCCTAATGGTCTACAATATCATGAAGTGTGCCTACTGTATGTATATTTTACATCAATGGTGCCATTTTAGTGAACAATGCTGCAGATAATGCATATTTTTGTGTTTACACTCTGTGACACTGTTCACACTTGTGATTCTGTGCATCATCACATATTGTGACAACAGCTGCAGAAGATGTAAATTCACCACCAACCTCCTCTATCAAATCTCAACAAGTCATTTTTTGAACCAGTTAAATAAGGCCATGAATGGCACATTTCCCCCATGGTGGAAACCATTGTGGGCATGCTGATGCTCTGCTTTTTTATGGAGGAGGGTCTAATGGTACTTTCCTGCTTTGTTCAATGGACCAATTACAGCAATTCCCCCTCTCGCCACTGATTATTTTCTAACAAAAAAATCAAATAAACCACAAATAAAATAAAAAAAAATAACAAATAATTCGACGTGACATGAATGTACTTCGTAATTCAATGCATTACAGAAATGTAGTGGAGTAGAAA